CTGCTTCCTCTCCCATCCGAGTCCCCCAGTCCTCAGTCCAAGGGTGCAGGCAGCTTCAAGGCAGGGTTCAGTTCATTCAGCCGGGCCTCTTTGTTAAGTCCTTCCGGTGCAGCCCCTGTGTTATGCCATGCTGCCGGCAAGGTCAGCTTTCATGATCATCCTGGTGCTCAGTCCATGGAGTGGTTCACTGAAAGTTGGGTAGAAACATATTTGTAGCATCTATCCAGGAACACACAATCTGGCCCATTGTCCCCCGAGGTTCCCCACACTCATTGTTTAGCATCCCTTCCCTGCTGTGAGGCTACTTCTCCCCAATCACCCGCCATACTCACCAAGAGACCTACCAGCGTCTCCTCCACAATGGAGCTGGTCCCCTCTTCTAGTCTTGGCTTGAATTCCCGGAAAGCTGCTCTTTCCATTCCTGTGGGGGCCCACCGATAGGCCCCAGCCTAGTTTCGATGTTGTATAGCCTCAAGTGGATGATCATCTCCCAATTCTCCCCTCTTGAAGGAGTGACCCCTTCCCTTGTGCTCTTGTGAAGTGTGCACAAGGGAAGTGACTTTTGGTTCATGGTTCATCTCAACTTTTGTTCAGGATGTGGTTCCTAAGATTTGTTTACTTGGTGTTTCTTCTTATAGTAGTGGACTCATACAATACTTGTTCTTTTGTGATTGACTTACTTCACCTAGCATCATGGTTTCCAGGTCCTTCCCTGCCATGTGGTGTTTCGTGTTTTCCTCACTGTTTTTTAGGGATGCATAGTATTCCATTGTTTGTGTGAACTGTAGTTTCTTTATCCGTTCTTCCACTGTTGGTTATTTGAGCTGCTTCCAGTTTCTTGCTATTGTGAACTGTGCAGCCATGAGCAAGGAAGAGTACCCCTCCCTTCGTGTTGTGTCTCATTTCTTTAGGGTACATGTCTAATAGTGGTATTGCTGGATCATATGGGATTTCAGTTTCCAGTTGCTTTAAGTATCTCCCTATCATTTTCTACCACGGCTGTATAGCAGTTTATATGAGTTCCAATCTCTCACATCCTCTCCAGCATTTTTTGGTTTTAATTTGGGCTAGCATTATAGGTCTAAAATGGTATCTCATTTTGGTTTTAATTTGCAATTTCCTGATGGCTAGTGATTCTGAGCATTTTTTATATGTTTGTTAGCCATTTGTATTTCATTTTTTGGTGAACTGTCTATTCATATCTTTCTCCTATTTCTTAATTGTGTCTCATTATTTTCTTATTGGACTGTTGTAGAGGTATGTATATTTTGGTAGTTAGCCCTTTGTCCAGTGTGTGATTGGTAAAAAAAATGTTTCCCAATCTGTGGGCCCCTGATCAAGTCTTTTGATGTGCATAAGTGATGTAATGTCAGCAGGTCCCAATCATCTATCTTGTCTTCTGCTGAATATACCTCCCCTCTCCATTATACTTGGTCGTCTATGTATGCCCTGCAACAGGGCCCTTAAGTTTGTTCCAGCCTTCTCCTGGATGATCCTTAGAGCTTTGGGGTTTACATGTAGGTCTTTAATCCATTTGGAGTTTGTTTTTGTGGGGAAAGGTATGGGTCTTGTTTCAGTCTTCTGCACATGGAAATCCAGTTTGCCTTATACCATTTGTTGAAGTGGCTGTTTTTCTCCCATTGGATATTTTTATATACATATTTTTGTCAAAGATTAGATGATTATAGGCTGATGCATTTGGGTTTCCTGTTCTGTCCATGTATTTCTTGTTAGACCAGTACCAGGCTGTTTTGACTACTGGGGCTATATAGCAGGTTTTTAGGCCAGGCAGTGCTAGGCCTCCTACTTGGTTCTTATTCATAAGAAGCTCTTTGCTTATCCTTGGTCTTTTGCCTGCCCATATGAAGTTGGTAAAATTAGTTTTTCCATTTCCTTAATGAATTTCTTTGGGTTTGAATTGATATTGCATTGTAGCTACAGATTGTTTTAGGTAGTCTTGTCATTTTCACACTATTAAGTCTGTCTGTCTATGAGCATGGTATATTCTTCCATTTATATAGGTCCTTTTTAGTTTCTTGTAGTAGTGTGCTGCCGTGTTCTCTGCATAGTTCATCTGTTGCTTTAGTTAAGTTTATTCCTAAGTATTTTATCTTCTGTGTGGGTTATTGTAAATTGTATTGATTTATTGTCTTCAAATAAATCTAATTGGAGATATAAAAGAGATCAAACAAGCTACCCAGAGAAACAGAGCCCAGGAAGAAGCACATGAAGCTACAGGAACATTTCATAAGAGATGAGTGTGGACATGTATTCTTATTCAGTTTCTTCTCAAGGTGAAGATAACTCTTTATAAATGTCCTAGAGAAATATAGTAGCTTTCTGGTCACCCTTTGCAAGTAAAAAGGGTGGATTGTTCCACTACTGACACTTACAAAAAAACAAAAAAAAAAGAGATGAAGATCTTCCTCCAGAGTTAACACAGAACGAAAGCCTTCAGCTAGAGCTGTTGACCTGAATCCAGGCCTCTAGCCGCCTAAACTATGGGAAATAGATTTCTGTTGGTTCAGGTCATCCACTTGTGGCACTTTTGTGATACCAGCACTAGATAACTCGGAGAAGAGGCAAAGAAATAGAGATGCACAGTTAAGGGAGTTCTTAACTGTAATTAGAGAGATTAGGAAATTGGGTGGGTGGGTAATGAGATCCTTTTTGATTTTCTATAATCCTGTGTGTTTCAAAACTGCAATAAAATACTAAAAATCTACTTTCTGATCATTTGCTTCAAGCTGACCAATTTCAGTTTTATAGAAGAAAATCTGCTTAGCAAAGGCCCCAAGAAACATGAAGTAGGTGACAGAGCTGGCAGTGTGGATTTTCAGTTTTCAGTGTAGATGTCTTGGTTCTCGAACTAGGCTTACACACCAGAGTGGTCTTTGTCAAAAACCAAACCAAATTCACTGGCATCAAGTCAAGTTGGACAGGGTAGAACTGCCCCTATGAATTTCTGAGACTTTAACTCTTTATAGGAGCAAAAAGTCTCATTTTCCTCCCAAAGAGCAGCTGAGGGTTTGGAATTGCTGAACTTTCTGTGAGCAGCCTAGTTGCACCCCCTCCGTTCATCTTGAAGAGCCTGTTTGCAAGTTGAAAAGCTGGGGATGTTGTTGTGATGTTTGAATGCGATGATATATGTGGAATCACCTTGTAAATGCTAGTGTCATACTGAAACATATTGAACATTAATATTCTTATGATAATATTTTTGGTTAAGGAAATCAAACACAGTATTCACTTTTGGGGGGAGCAACCTCCCATTTGCTACTGTTAAAAATTTCAGTTTCTTTTAAACTGGTTTGTTCATTATGGCACTTTTGTTTTTCTTAACCCAGGACTGAATACCTTCCCAACTGAATTTAAAGGAGAGATGAAATGGAGTTATGTAAGCTATGTTCAAATGAAGATGAAAGAGAAGAAGAGAGAACTGCTGAAAATACTGATGTTTTCTTGAACAGCCAAACGAAGGATCCAGCTTTATTGTCCTAGTGAATTAACTAATACTAATCTGAGAAATTGTAGGTGCTATGAAATGCCCTAATTATGGATTTTCTTTAGCGATCATGAACTGCTTTCTGTTTTAAGCATGAGAAGCTGATTGGACATTCAACCCACAGAAACACTGAGAACAAATTTACCATTAAATGGCCTATTCACATACTGCTATGATATCATATTGTTGCTTCACATTTTCTTCCTATTAACAAATATCCTGAATTCTTTTAAATAAATGAGAATGAAGTCCAAAGTAACTGAGTCCCAGTTTGTTTGTAATTCAAGAACTAGATAGTTCTAGAAACTCATCCTTCCCCCCCACCCCCACCCAAACTCACAGACTTGAGTCGATTCTGACTCATAGGACCTTATTGGAAAGCGTTCAGGTCATGAACTTATAGTGTATTGGAAAAATGGACAAAATAATTAATCTGAAAAATGACAAAGTCAAGTAAGAGATGAAAGAGGATGGTGTGGAAGGGAAGACTATTCTGTATGTTTTCCTAGGATGGATAGGGAAAAAAACCACACCAAACTTTTCTAAAGGGGATGATGTGTGAACAAAACCCCAAATAATATAAAGGAGTGAGCCTTGAGGTTATAGGGATAAAAAGTAGACTGCTTATGAAGAGCATTAACAGCCTTAGAGTTTTAGCTAACTCTTGAGTGGAGAGTGGACACTGGTGAGGGAGAGATGGGCTCTTCAACTCACCTTCTCCTTGCCTAACGAGTTAGTGCCATCGACTCCTAATTGCTCAGCAGGGTCTGTTCCTGCAGTGTATGTTCAATCACCTTATAATTTTTATTCCATTCCGTATGATAGTTATTGGACGTGAACTCCAAAATGTGGGGAGCTAACGTTCACTCCGTAGGGGGGCCTGGCATTTAGAAAGCACTCCTTACGTGAGTGAATTGAAAAGACTGGGTACTGTGGAGTGGGCATAGAAACGGGAGGCTGTAGCCTTTGGTCCAGAAAAGTTTATGCGAACAATGACAGCTGACTGAAAAGCGAGCAAGAGGTGAAAATAAAACTCTGCTCGAAGGGATCCACGCTTCCTTCTTACTACAATATGCCCATTCAATAGTGGGTTCTCCAATCGCAGGCTTTCTTCAAACCCGGCTGAAACCAGGCTGTTTCTAACTGACCAATCAGAAAGCAGGCTTCGGCAGTCGCGAGGATAGTTGTAGCCAATGAGAGACCCGGGACATTTGGTGGGGTGAGTCCCCTCCCACCAACTGAACCCTCGGGGGCCTTGGGAGGCGGTTGGGCGGGACTGAAGTTTGATTGGCTGGTCAACGATCAGCCACCTGAGAACAGCCTGCTGTGCGCGCGGGAGGGGTCCGTGGGCGGGGCAGGGAACTGGGTGCTGTTCAAGAGTCAGCCAATGGTTGACAAGATACCCGCCGAGGGCAGGCTAGGCCACCAATGACGGCACGGATATGGCGTTGTGGGCGGGGCTTTTGGGCAAAGCCGCGGTGGAGCCGCGCCTATTAGAGTCGCCCTCACCGTCACGGCCGGCGCCCCTTCAGGATTCATTCATTCTCTCTCGCTCTCGCTCTTTTTTTTTTCATTCACGGAGCTAGCAAGGCCCAGTCGAGAGCCATGGATCACACTGTCCCGGCCGCCGGCTTCCTGTACTGGGTGGGCGCGGGCACCGTGGCCTACCTGGCCCTGCGCATCTCCTACTCAATCTTCATGGCCATTAAGGTCTGGGGCTTAGGTAACGAGACCGGGGTCGGACCGGGGCTCGGCGAATGGGCAGGTGAGTCGGATCCAGCGCCGCTGTCGCCGCCTCCCCCGGCCGCCGCTCGGGGCCCAGCCCCGGGCCTGGCGCGTGGCCTTCCCCCGCTCAGCTCCTGTGCCCTTCCCGGTGCTGCTGCGCGCCCTCTCCTCCCCCCGGAGCCATCTTCGGGCTTGGTGGAGAGTTTGTGTTTTCAAATCCAACCGCGAGGTCTAACTCCGAGATCTCTGCGGGCCTTGACTCTCGAAGACCCGAGCACTTTCACTTGTGCCGGGTTCGCGGCCCGGGAGTGATCCTCAGTCCCGTCCTACCCAGCTCGGTTTAAAACACACGTTTTTGGCTTGCCTGGGATACGGGCTGGTGCGAAGGACGAAAATTAGTCTTTGGGGCGGTGGGGGCGGGGTAATGAAGGCCGGGGAAGAGACCTGAAATTCCAGAAGTTGTTTTTGCCCTTTGGCACCTGAGCTCTCCACTAGGGTACGTCCTATTTCATGTAAATTTCAGAGCTGCCTTGAAAAAGACCACCAACAACAAAAATCCTCGAGAAAGTGAAAGTGTTGCGAAGTTAAGGTGGTAGCCACCGGAGTTAACTGCTTCTACAGAAACCGGTGACGCTCTCTTGAAATCAGAAATATTTGCAGAAAGTACATTTGCGATGGGGAGATAAGAATTCCCACGAAGGAAATGGATCTTGTTCGATAGTCGGAGGGTTTCAAAGATGGAGGAGAAAACTTGCAAAACTTATCTGCCGGGAAGTTCTGCCCTAGCTATTTTTATTCTGACATTCTGCGGGTTTTCTTTTTCTTTCCTTTTGCCGCGCCCACCCCCCTTTTATTTTTTAAACCAAGTGATTGCTTAAGATTTCTTGTGGTCGATCTTTGATCGCATTGATTTATTTAGTTGCTTTTACGAATGTTTTCCCTTTACCAAGCATTTTGTTGAATTTGGGGTTGGTTGGGAGTTCAGACGACGCTTACGTAAAATACAAGCTCAATGTTGTTGTGTTCTTTGCCGTCTTCACTCAAAACCATATATGCAACTCAGGGGAAAGTTACTTGTGGGACCTCACCTCACTGCTACGTAGTCAGTTCTACCTCAGCGACTGGGTGGAACAGGGTAGAACTGCCCTTGTGGTTTTTTCCGAGATGGTTAACTTTTATATAAAGCTTTGCTTTTCTCCCACGTTTTGAGACACTTAACGTGGAATACTGAGAGAAAACTTTCCAGGTAGGAAGGGATTTATTTGTAGGAACTCTGCCCACGGTATGAGGCAGTTGTTAACCTACTCCCTTTTCACAATCATCTGTTACCTTTGGATAGTCTTTGGAAGAGGCGTAAAGGGTTTAACTTTGATAATAATCCAGTTTCAGAACTGCTCACATTTTCATCTCCAGAGCTGGGAAACTTATCTGTGGATTTTTGTAATAGTTACACAAGCCAGGACGGAATTTTATAGATGCAAACAAAACGCTCATATTAATACCTTTGAAAAATAATCTGAGATTGGCCACACTGGTTAAGAGCCCAAATAGGCTTTTGGGGAATGCTTTCTTTATACCCTAGGAACTGCATTTTTATTTTGATTGAAGGCAGACTTTCGAATTCACACGTGTGCTATAGCTTGATATTTCTGGAAGCCTAGTGGGTACATTTTAGAACCAAGTAGCTTGGGTGTTCGTCATTTGCAGCCACAAGCTGTGTTGCCTTATAATAAAACATTGGAAAGTGACGGGAGGTTGCTTCCCAAAGCAAAAGGGTTTCCTGGTGGCATAATGATTACATGTGCTGCCAGCCTCAAGGTCAGTAGCTCAAAACCACCAGCCACTCCACAGGAGAAAGAGGAGGCTCTCCATTCCCCTCAAGAGTGACAGTCTCGGCTACCCACAGGGGCAGTTGTCCCCTCGCTATGAGTCAGTATCAACTCCATGGCAGCGAGTGTGGCTTTCTTCAGTTTTGTGTTTCTCATGTGGGTTGAGTGAATGGATTGGGTGCCTTCTTGTAACGTAACCTGCTCCTTATGAACATTCAGGAAACTCTAGTATTAAGGTGTGCCTATCTGCTCTGACCGATAAGATGATGTTGATCACAGTAGGCATTGGACGGGCAGTGTGAAAAGAAAGTGGGAGGACAGAAGAGCAAAGAAACTTGTCATAAAGTTGGGGTCCTGAGTTGGCTCACTTAGCATGTCAGTTCCCATGAGGTAGTGTGTGCCTCAGTGGGAGGAGTGCTTCAGATTGGAGCTGGCAGGACCACTTTACTGATTTTGGGCCAGAGGCTGCATCAGGCTGGAGAAGCCAGGTGCAGCTCGGGCATCTGACCCTACACCTTGTCTGGATCTTGGAGGAAAAACCCAAAAGGAAGGTTAGCTGGGTTAGAAATGCACCCTCTACTCTCCTGGAGCTGGAAGATCTCCCTCTAACCTTTGCGCCCCCATTTCTCCCCTTTGTCTTCTGTACTTCCCCTTTCTTTGCAACGCTAACCAGCTTGCTTAGAGGTCAAACCCTGAGTCTTGGGAGTCTGAAATCTGGGGTTCGGTCCTGGCTCCTCTGCTCACTAACATTGAGTAAGGTGGTGCTTTGCAGTCTCACCTCATCTGAACAGTGGGAGTAATACCCATGGCCAAAGTCACAGGGAGGTTGTAAAGTAGATTGTTCAGGGCTGGGCCCTGAACATGCGTAATGATTTCTTGTTCTTGTAGTAGCGTCATCCGAGTTGATTGCCAGGATATGGTGGATGAGAAAACCTACTCTCTAGATGACCTGAAGTGACTATTACTCCTACTGTAACTGAGAATGCAGAGCCTCCAAATGAGTTTTCTTTTGGAAAAATTGAACTGGGGATCATTTATTTCTTTCCATTTCAGAGAAATTTCTTGAAAGATTTCAATAGTGAGGCTTATATATTCATAATACATGGGTGAGTGGATTTGAATGGATCAATACCAATGCCATTAAATGTTATTTCTAGGTAAGGATACATTTTTGGTTGCTTTTTAATGGTAAACCCTTGATTTTGTTTTCTTCATATCCTTGGAGCAAACAAAAAACATGAAAGCAATTTGCATGCGTGTCTTCTGGGATAGGCTGAGATTAAGACTGGGGAGGCAGGGGTCAGGCCTTTGCTGCCTGTCCTTCCACCAAACACTGTTGAGTGCTGACCACGGATCTTAGTCCAGTAAGCCCAAACCCAACCCACCGCCATCAAGTTGATTCCAACTCAGAGCGACCCTCTCCATGGGACAGAGTCCAACTGCCCCATGAGGTTTCTTACACTGATGTTCATGAAAGCAGATAGCCACCTCTTTCTCCCACCACAGAGCAACTGGCTGGTTAGGGACATCCGACCTCTTGGCCAACAGCCTAGTGCTTACCCACTGAAGCACCATGTTTCATTACAGTCCGGTGAGCCTCGTCTGCTGAACAAATTGCTGTCAGAGGCAGAAAAGGGATAGTGGGTTCTGTGAGTGCTTATGTGGGAAGGACAGAGAGGGCTTTCTGTGGAGAACTGATGACCTTGACACCGGGAGGGTGTGAGCCAGTGGGGGGGGGGGCAGGAGTGGCAGAAAGCCCCAGAGAATAAAACCTTCTCTACGTACCGAGGGAGCAACAGCAGCTAAGTTCCTGCGGTAGGAAAGAGCAGGGTCCTCTGAAACAAAGCATCCGTGACTGGGCCTGATGGAGATGGGAATGCAGAGCTAGGAAGGGACCAGCAAGCAGGGACTCCGGGGTTCATGGGGAGGGAGGAAGAGGCTTTGCAACAGAAGGGGGACACGGTTGGGTTTGCAACTTGAAACGGGACTTCTTGTTTCCCTGCCCTCCCAGAGTTGTTGCTGACCCTCCTTGAGAAAAACGTTGTCACCAAAGTAGAGCAGTGGAGGTCATTCAAATACTTCCAGTCAACAGCCTGCCTGCCCTCCCAACCCCCTTTTAAAGTGAATTCATACTTTATAGTAAGGGAGGCCTCGTTTGTGTACGCCCTGATAAGCATCCTCAAAGATGGTTTCCCCGTAAGGGAGCTGAGGGGATCTAATCAATGAGGTATGAACAGCTCTCCTCTCCCCAGGGACTGAGTGACAGGGTGGTTAAGGACACCTGAAACTGGGTTACTGCTTTCTCAAGGTAACCTGGGAATGCATGGGATGACTGGTGAGAAATCTGACACAAATCCTTATCAGAGGGAGTGCTTTGTTTTCATCACACATTTTGTCTTATGTTACTTGCCTTATCATCAACTGGACATTCCAGGGATCCGCCCCAGTTTCTGAAAACTTTACTTTTAACTCCACTAAGGGAAGTTATTTTTATTTAGCTAAGCTAGTCCTTGGAGTAGGGGCAGGGAGAGAAAGGCTAGGAAATTGATGATTGTAAACAGTTAGTGCATCCCAAGAATATGATAATGGAAATTAGAGTCACTAAGGAACCTTGGTGGTGTGTGTGGAGGGTTACATGGTGGGCTGCTATCCGCACGTTCAGCGGTTCGAACCCAGCAGCCGCATCAAGGGCGAAAAATGAGCAAATTCAGTCTTGGAGACCCACAGAGTCAGCTCTGCTCTGTCCCACAGGGTCCCCATCAGTTGGAAGCAAGTTGATGGCAGAGAGGTGGCTTGGGAATGTAGCTAACAGAAAGGGATTGACTTTAGAGTCAGGTGGCTAATTACAAGCTTTACTCCTTGTTACGGAGTCGCCCAACACAAGACCACTGACCCACAAAACTGCAAACAGAAAAAAAGTTTATTCAAGACAGAAAAGAGAGGGAAATGGGAAAGTGCCCATACCCTAGACAAACCCGGGCTTGGGCTACAGCATAGCCATGCAGGGTCTAATGCTGCAGCAGCGAGTGGAGGTCCCCTCACCCTTTTATACCCTTAACAAAGCAGCTAATTTTAGAATTTTATGAGAACAGGGAAGAACAGCTAGTGCTAAGCAACAGGATTCGGTCAAGCGGAATGTTCCTGCTTGTGTTAACTGGGTGACAAATGTTTTGGGCGGTTGAGGCGCGCGGTCAAGCGGAATGATTTCAAA